AAGAAAGCTGATGGTGCCCGGCTGTCAAAAGATATAGTGTCGGGGGTCTTAAAGGCTTGAAGATAAATAAGCGGCCATCTAGCTCAGAAGCAACAAAGCCCAATGGAAGAAGCACACCAGCCTGTGTGATCATGATGTGTCTAAGGTAGCAGGCTTCAAAGAACAAAAAATTAAATCATTGTGAATGAGGGAGAATGCAGGTTGGGGACCCAAGACCCATCTGTAGGCAAGTGGACATTCCCTTACAAGAAGAGTCATAGGGAGGAGACGAGCCAGGCAGGGTGAAGTGTAGCAACGATGAAACATACAACTTTCCTCTAGTTCCTACAATTATCATGATCTCAATTCTACCTTACAAATCTAGCTAGAGCAGAGGATGTACACTTGTACAGATAGGAACTGGAAACACAGGGAATCCAGGATAGATGATCCCTTCAGGACCAGTGCTGAGAGTGGTGATACCTGGAGGGTAGCGGGAGGGTGGGGTGGAAAGGGGGAGCGATAACAAGGATCTAAATATAACCTCCTCCCTGCAGGATGGACAACAGAAAAGTGGGTGAAGGGAGACATCGGACAGTATAAGATATGACAAAATAATCATAATTTATAAATTATCAAGGGTTCGTGAGGGAGGGAGGTGGGGAAGGAGGGGGAAACAATGAGGAGCTGATACCAAGGGCTCAAGCAGAAAACAAATGTTTTGAGAATGTTGACGGCAACAAATGTACAACTGTGCTTGACACAATGGATGGATGTATGGATAGTAGTAAGAGTTGTATGAGCCCCCAATAAAATGATTTCAAAATTATTCATATTTTAAATTCTTCCATCTTAAAGGAATCCTATAGTAGAGATTTCTAAAAAGAAGTAACACTCTTACTACCATTTATTTTTTGCACGTAGTCTTTGTACAATGTGGTAAGTATTTGTATAAATGGTTTGAAAGAGCACAGATGCTTTTGGAAGTATGTATTTTTGATATAATGAACAGGAAATTTTTTCATTCAGCTATTATATGGTCCAATGCAAATTTATTCCAAGGAGAATTAAAGTCATGGTTTCAATGACAGTGATTGACTTGATTATTTGACACTAAGTCAACATAAATTTTTCGCTAAGACAGTCACACAAAAGAACAGACCTGCTTAGCACCAGGCTTCTGCTCCATAGGTGTCATGGTGAGTGTCTTGGTCTCTTTCTCATACTGGCAGTAGTATTTCATCCAGGATATTCCCAAAGCCCCTGCAAAGACAGGCAAAACAGAAAGTTTAGAGAGAATAATTATTTTACTGTGTAAACAGTATACTCATAGGATATAAGTTGTATGATTTGCCTTTATCTTCCAGATAAAATCCTGCCCTTCCCTTGAGTCTCAGTCTTCCATAGCCACCTGATTTTTGCGCTTATGTAGATCCTTACTTATATCATGACCGCAATGCTTTTCATTTGCTTTGCTTTGTGGAGTGTTTAGAAGAATTGTGTCAAAAAAGGACAATCAAATAGTACATAATTCAAAAGCTTACTGCCATTTAGCTGATTCTGAATCATAGAGACCAGAGCAGAACAGTCCCTTGGGTTTCCAAGACTGTAATTTTTTCTGGGAGTAGAAAGCTTCATCTTTCTCATGCAGGAAGGCTGGTGATTTCAAACTGTCAACCTTGTGGTTAGCAGCCAAATGCTACCAGAGCTCCTAAATAGCACATAAGGGTTTGTGTAATGCTATTTAGGAGTTCAGAATGCTTAAATCTTCTACAATATTCAGTCACTAAATACATTAGCCTTTTTTCCTTGATTAGCAATGGACAGCAAATACCAGTACACCATACCCACTGAAATCATGAATAATTATCAAGTGCTTTATGAAGATCCACACATTTCTAAGGCAACAGAAGGTAGAGGATATAGTGGTTGGAATGTATTGGTAGAGGCATGATTTGGGGCATTTCACAGATCAAAGTTTAACTGTAAGCCACTTATTAAGTAACTTTCAACTAGTAATCTACTCTCTAAGCTTCAGTGGCCTCGTGTATAAACTGTGATAAGGTAGTTTTAAAGATTAGATGAGATTTTAAATTTAAAGCACTTGGCAGCAGATATTTGTGTCTTTTCTCCTCTGCCCCATTGTCACTTTCCCATTTTGAATTTTCGAGGAGTTCTTATCATCTCAAAACTTTTGCAAAACAAATGCTTGGCTTCCCCTTCAATTATGAAAATAGTTTTTGTTCTTATTGAAGAGAGACACAACATAACATACAGCAATATTATGTAAACATTTTATATATGTACAATTTAGTGACATTGATTACATTCTTCAAGCTACGCATCCATTTTCAACATCCTTTTCTGACTTGTCACCCTACCCCATAAACATACACTCAACTTCTCTCTAAGGTTCCTATCTCATCGTTCCTTTCCTGTTGCTTTTCTCAATTAGCTCTACCTCCTCGTTCACGTAATAGTGTCTATGGTCTAAAAAATTGCAAGCAGCTATACAAGGTACAATAATTGCTTTGTTTGCCTGGGGCAACAGACAAAGAAGGAGATTCTGGAATAGGAGGGAGAAATGAAATGTGTAGTTAATTGTCTCCATGAAAGACTGCCTCTTTTGCCATGAGACCAGAGGAACTGGATAATTCCTGAACATTTTGATCAATTATTCTAGAGAAGAATATTGATCTAAAGTAGGAAAATGCAGAAATTAACATCAAATCCTTATGGATTCCAGACTTTCTGGAGCCAAAACTATTGCTCTGAGAGAACTTTTATCCAAATATACCTTAAATTTTGAACAAAAAAAAAAAAGCCTTCTGAAGTCTCCTTAATTCCAGATAAAATTTTAGCTTAATAAGGTGTGTCTGCCATGATCATTGTGTTCTTTTAAAATTTATCTTATGAGACCTCCTCCTCTTTATTTTCACTATTACCAGCTACCACTTCTCTGTCAGTTTATCAACTTTGGTGGTGTATATGTTGCTATGATGCTGGAAGCTATGCCACTGCTATTTCAAATACCGGCAGGATCATCCAGAGTGAACAGATTTCAGTAGACATCCAGAGTGAACAGGTCTCAGTAGAGATTCTAGACTGAGAAAAGACTATGAAAAAGGAATAGGCTGTCCACTTCTTAGGAATCAGCCAAAGAAAAGTTTAGCAATGGAGCATTGTTTGATGTAGTATCAGAAAATGAGCTCCTCAGATTCGAAGGTAGTTTTAACGATTGTAAGAATTAGTAAACGTAGAGCACTTAGCACTATGTCTCACATAAACTAGGTATTTGTGTCTTTTCTCGCAAAATAGCTATTGGCCATTTTGAATCAGAAAATCATAGGATTGACTATGCTGGGAATAGCACTAACAAGAGGAATGGCATTGCATTCAAATCAATCTTGAAGTACAAGGATTTCTCCAATAGAATTATATCTATCCTCCTTCATAGAAATCCAATCAATACAACTATTATTGGAATTTATACACAAATCCCAAAAGCTAGTGATGAAGAAATTGAAGAATTCTACTGTGTTCATTGAAATTAATCAAACATGCAAATGAGATGCAGCATTGATAAATATTGAAGATGGGAATGCAAAAGTTGGAAAGAAAGGGTTGGAATTGACTCAGTGGCAGAGAGTTAGAGTATTTGAGTTTGGTACTTTCAATATTCTTCTGCAGCACAATAATACAAATGGATCAATTTTTCTCTGGTCTTCCTTATCAAAAACCACTAGCTTTCACTTGCACATGAGGAAATTGAAAATACCATGGCTTCAGTCAGGTACCCATTAATTCTCAAAGCGACAATCTTGATCTCCAACACTTTAAAGAGGTCTTGTACAGCAGGTTCACCCAATGTAATGCATCATTTGATTTGACTATTGCTTCCATAAGCTCCATTGTGGATCTAAGCAAGGTGAAATTCTGACCATTTGAATCTTTTCTCCATTTATCATGATGTTACCTATTGGTCCAATTGTGAAGATTTTTGGTTTTTACATTAAGTTGTAATCCATATTGAGGGGGCTGCAATCCATGATCAACAGCACGTGTTTCAACTCTTCCTTGCTGTCGCAAGTAATGTTGTGTTATCTGCATTGGTTGATTAATCGGCCTTCCTCCAATCCTGATGCCTCCCTCTTAATATAGTCCAGTTTCCAGATTATTTGCTCACCACACAGATTGAGTAAGTATGGTGAAAGGATGCAACCATTATACACACTTTCCTGATTTCAGACTATGCAGTATTACCTTTTTCTGTTCAAACTACTACCTTTTTATCCATATACAGGTTCCACATGAGCAAAATAAAATATTCCCATTCATCTCAATACTATCCATAATTAGTTATGATCCACATAGTCTAATGCCTCTTCATAATCAATAAAATACAAGTAAGCATGTTTCCAGTATTCTTTGCTTTGAGCCAAGATCCATCTATCTGACATCAACTGTGGGGGGAAGTCAGATCCTGGTGGGGGCTGGCCCCTCACTCTCCCCAAGCATCACTTATATTTTATTTAATACTACAATCAACAATGATATCCTTTGTTCCAAGTCCACTCTCAATCTGGCTTGAATTTCTGGCAGCTCTTTGTAAATGTACTGCTGTAATTATTATTGAATCATATTCATCAAAATTTTACTGGCCTGTGTTTTTAATGATATTGTTTGATAATTTCCTCATTCTGTGGAGTACCCTGTCTTTGAAATGGGTACAATATGGATCTCTTCTAGTTGTTTGGACTAGTAGCTGTCTTCCAAATGTTTTGGCATAATTAGTGCATCATCAGTGTGATAAAATAATTCAATTGGTACTCCATCAATTCCTGGATCTTTGTTTTTCTTCTTTTCCTTGCCAATATTTTTAATGAGGCTAGGATTTCATCCTTCAGTACCGCTGATTCTTGATCATAAGCTGCCTCTTGAAATGGTAGAAAATCAACCAGCACTTTTGGGTACAATAGTTGTGTATTTTGTTCATCTTCTTTAGATACTTCTTGCATAGTTAAATATTATGTCCATAAAAACAAAACAAAACTCCCTGCCATCAAGTCAATTCTGACTCATAACAACCCTAGAGGACAGGGGAGAACTGCACCTGTGGGTTTCCAAGACTGTCAATCTGTAAAGGAGTAGAAAACCTCACCTTTTCCTCCAGTGTGACCGGGAGTTTCTAACTGCTCATCTTGTACCCAGCAACCCAGTGGCAAAAAATCTTTTAATATTGCAACTAGAGGTTTGACATTTTTCTTCAGCTTATTCAGCTTGACATATGCTGAGAGTGTATTTTATTTTTGGTTTTCAACTCCATGTGTTTGCCCAATTCATTATAATTCTTTACTTTGTCTTATTGAGCTGTCCTTTGAAATTTTCTGTTCGATGCTTTTATATTATCCTTTCTTCCATCTGCTTTAGGTGCTCTTTGATCTAAAGCAAAATTTAGAGTCCCTTTTGACATCCACTTTGATCTTTTCTTTCATTCCCATCTCAAGAGAGAACAGTCCCTAGAAAAAAGACATCATGCTTGTAAAGTAGAAGGGAAGTGAAAAAGAAGATGACATTTGTGAGGATGTTTCCTTCTATTGTACACAGAACAAACTTGAGGACTCCTAACCATAGTAGCGATATTCCCAGCATGCTTATAGAAGCTAGAAGTCTGAGAGTAACATGAGTACTTAGAGTTCAAAAGGCCAAATGGCAGAAAATGCTAGCCACCTGAATCCCAATGCATTTCGACATACATTTCACATACATTTTTCTTGTGTATAGAGATAGCCTTCAATGGTCGGCTGTCCTGGCAGTTTGCATGTCTGGGGAGCTTCTTTCATCCGTCTCTTCAGTTCTCCCATCTCCTCCCGGGTACTGGAGAAATGATTTCTCGTCTGCCAAGATATTATCAACACAATCATTATCTTCATATATACGATCTTAAAAATAAGTATTGGTCAGAGACTCAGAACAGAACTTTCTTTAGTAAATGCCATATACCACAGCATGGGGGAAACAATAATGATGAATAATAGCGTGAATATAAATCTAAATTTGATAAAGTTTAATGGTGCTAAATAAGGGAAGAGGAACAAATATGAATAAGACTCTAGCCATAAAACATGAAAGGGAGATTATTTTGAAATACAATGACTTACAAAACACAGTTGCTTTTTGTTTGTTTGTTTTTAATTTGATAAATCATTTTATTGGGGGCTCTTACAGCTCTTATAACAATCCATACACCAATTGCATCAAGGACATTTATACATATATTGCCTTCATCATTTCCAAAACATTTTCTCTCTACTTGTGCCCTTAGTATCAGGTCCTCCTTTTTCCCCTCCCTCCCCCACCCTCGTGAACTCTTGATAATTTATAAATTGTTTTCATATTTTATACTGTCTGCTGTCTCCCTTCACCCATATTTCTGTTTTTCATTCCCCTGGTCGGGGGGTATGTCAATCATTGCAATCTGTTCCATTTTATCAACCTTCTCCCCCCACCTTTCCCCTATCCTCATGGTACCGCTACTCTCATTATTAGTCCTGGGGGATTTATCTGTCCTGGATTCTGAGTGTTGATAGCTCTTATCTGTACCACTATACATGCTCTGGTCTAGCTGGATTAGTAAGATAGAACTGGGGTCATGATTGTGGGGGAGGAAACATTAAAGAACAAGAGGAATGGGATCATGATAAGTGGGTGTGGGGGGGAAGCATTTAGGAACTAGGGGAAAGCTGTATGTTTTATCAGTGCTACACCGCACCCTAACTGGCTTGTCTTTCTTGCGACCCTTCCATAAGGGGATGTCCAATTACCTACAGATGGGTCTTGGGTTCCCAATCTGTACTCCCCATCATTCACAATGATTTGATTTTTTGTTCTTTGATGCCTGACACCTCATCCCTGCGACACCTCATGATCACACATGCTGGCGTGCTTATTCTATGTGGGTCAGAGGATATACACTGGTACAGATAGGAACTGAAAACGCAGGGAATCCAGGACAGATGATCCCTTCAGGACCCGTGCTCAGAGTGGTGATACCGGGAGGGTGGAGTGAGGGTGGGGTGGAAAGGGGGAACCAATTACAAGGATCCACATATAACCTCCTCCCTGGGGGATGGACAACAGAAAAGTGGGTGAAGGGAGACGTCAGACAGTGTAAGATATGACTTATAATAATAATAACTTATAAATTATCAGAGGTTCATGAGAGAGGAGGGAGTAGGGAGGGGGAAAATGAAGAGCTGATACCAAGGGTTCAGGTGGAAAGTGAATGTCTTGAGAATGATGATGGTAACAAACGTACAAATGTGATTGACACAATGGATATATATATATATATATATATATATATATATATATGTATGGACTGTGATAAGAGTTGTACGAAGTCCCCCCCCACCAATTTTTTTTTTAAATCAAGAGGAATATTGTGTGTTTCATCAGTGCTATAGTGCATGCTAGCTGGCTCGTCCCTTCCTTCTGACCCTTCTGTGTGGAGATGTCCAATTGTCTACAGATGGGCTCTGGTTCTCCATTCTGACCCTCCGCATTCTCATCAAAATGGTTGTTTGTTTTGGGTCTTCTGACGCCTGATACCTGATCCCACTGACACCTTGTGGTCATACATATTGGTATGCTTCTTCCATGTGGGCTTTGTGGCTTCCCTGCTAGATAGCCACTTATTTAACTTCAAGCCTTTAAGACCTAATCAGCTGTCTTTGTCACATTAGCTTATGCACCCATTTTGCCTTCAGCGATCATGTCGGGAGGGTGAGCATCACAGAATGCACAAAATAGTCTTGTGTTGAAGGAGGACTTGAGTAGAGGCCCGCTGTCCATCTGCTACTTTAATACTTAACCTATAAATATATGTGCATAGACCTATACCCCTAATGTTATATACTAATATATTTACATATGTACATGCTGATGTTTATACCTCTATAAATGTCTTTTGCCTCCTAGTTCTTTCCTCTATTTCCTTTTACTTTCCTTCTGTCCCATTATCATGTTCCACCTTCATTTGACTCTTTGTACTTCCTCTTGCCTACATTGCACTTGATTGAACCCCACCTGGAATTCTATGCCCTCCTCGCCATTGATTTTAGATCTCTTGCTGTTCCCTTGTACCCAAGTTTGTTGGTTTCCACCCTCTTTTCCCCCCACCTCCTCCTCTACTCTTCCCTCCAGAACCGTTGGTCCGGTTGTTTTCTCCACGCGATTGTTTATCCTGCCTATCTTATATAGATAAACATGAAAAAAATAGCCTATAAATAGTTCCAGGTCTATCTGCTGACCCTTATGAATGTTTTCCAATCAGATCTAATACAGTGCAGAATCCCTCAGGGACTGTTGCTTTACTTCCCTTGTTGCTCTGATACACTCCCTTCATTCTACACCCTGCTGTGGGAGGTCACACCAGGCACAATTCCCACACTGTGTCTCCGGTGCTGCCCCCCAGTAGCGCTATGGGTCAGTAAAGGGACATCAAATACACTGAGGTTGAGTTGATTCCAACTCGTAACTAACCTGCATAGACTTTCAAAAGGCTGGAAAATAAACAAGCAGCCAACTAGCTCAGAAGCAACAAAGCCCACATGGAAGAAGCACACCAGTATGTGGGACCACGAGCTGTCGAAGGGATTGGGTGTCAGGCATCAAGGAACAA